ACAGCTGCAAGGAGGAAAAACAACATTTGAAATGCTTTGGGGAGGGAGCAAAACGCAGTACCTTCCAGTATTCACTGCAATCGAATACTTTCTACCTATGAATACTTTCCTACCTCTGGGGACAAGCCTTTTCATGCAGCATGAAAGAAACAACTTTCCTATCTGAAGCTAAACCCTAGACTGAGATCATGTCAGGCCAGGACTTTGGGGTAGAGATCTAGGGTCCCACACATTGCCATCTAAAGAAGAGGGTGTGAAAATCCAGAGTCTAAAATTACCCAAGTCCATCAATTACAAAACTACAATATCCGAGAAATCAAGACAGCATTAGATTACCCAACAACACCGTTATTGCATAACCTGTCAGACAGATCATCGTCATAACATTGTCTTTAAGTTGTGGAATGTCATATAACATAGGTCATGGTAACTATTATTTACTTGCACAGCAATATAACCACTCAGTGTAATGCACTTCCTTCCACCTGAAAAGAGGGAAAGAACTAAAATCTGATATTTGTAAGCAATTTATTGACTCTAGAGAGAAGACAAAGGGGGCTTTTGGAAAACAAAGAGGATCCCCAGAGAAAGAAAGAGAAACAAATATGAAGAAGAAAATCTGCAGCTGCATCCATTTAGTCTTTTCTTGCCCTGTGCAATACTGTACATAACAAACATGCACTGTGAATGGACATAAGAAGTTACAATAGTCACCATTTCAGATGATAGCAAGACCTGAAATCTTCAGCAGCATGACTTCCAATTAACCAAAACCAACTAGGTAAAAAATTGTAAGTCATGCCTATCTCCATTTTGATTTTTCAAATTCCCCAGCAGCAAAATAATTCTTGCATTGTTTTTTTTCCCATAGTCTGGGTCTCTCTCCCAACTTGTAACAGAGCAAAAGGGTGATCTATTTTTAAGCCTCTGGCAGTTTTTCAGGATATACAAGTGAGGTGCATATGATAAATATAATGGGGGTTAGTTATTACTGGATGGAATTTGTAATACTGCAGAAATGGCTGCTCTTGTTCGTGTCATAATCTGGATGCCACCTCATTATCTTCCAGAAAGTCAAGACCAGTCTGTGTTACTCCCAGATGAAAATAAGACTTTCAAAAGAAGGCATCTAAGTTGATTGTTGACTGTAATAAAAATAATCTACTCAATGAAAGCATCAGGAGAAACACTGACCTTTGACAATTCAAAGGGTTTTTTTTCTTTTTTCTTTTTTACGATAACAGTGTATTACATTCTCAAGCTTTGACCTTAGGTTTAATATCTTTCCAGAGTCTAGTTACAACCAATAAGTACTGAATGATGCCTTGAATTTTCTCTTTTACACAATCTTGAATAATCTTCAACAATAAGGTTGAAGAATCTGGACATCAATGCCCAAGCATGATATGAATAATTGATAAAATCTCTGCCCAAATTGTAATAATGCATGGACATCTCACCCCCCATAAAATTTAACTGCCCTTTCCCCCATAATCCTGTCATCAGAATTCCTAACCTGTAACATAGTTAGAAATGACATGAGTAATAGACTTACCACTACTTGAGTGGTAGGACTGGAATCAGTGAAAACGAAGTATAATGAATTCATTATTAAGTCTGGATCCTTCCTGCTAAGTTCCTTCTCCCACAGATTTACAGTACACAAATTCTAATAGGCCCTAAAGATTACCCCTTTCTGACCTCTGATCATTGCAAGTTGATTGTTGACATACACTACTAAATTCCATGGTAAATCCTGGTGAATTACATGGGGTTCCCTCTTGACTTTTTTTTGGGGGGGGGGTCCCTGCAGTTTTCTTGGCAAGATTTTTGGAAGTAGTTTGCCATTGCCTCTTTCCTAGGGCTGAAAGAGAGTGACTGGCTCAAGGTCATCCAGCTGGCTTTAGTACCTAAGGCAAGATTAAAACTCATGGTCTCCTAATTTTTAGGCTGGTGCTTGAACCACTACACCAAACTAGCTCACCACTCTTGACTACACATGCATATATTTGTATTTTTAGTTAATAGTTAGCTGTAATTAAGCCCCATTGAAACCAATAGGGCCAGTTAGTGATGACAAGTCCTATTACTTTCAATGGGAAGTAAGTGCAATAAACTGTCCCTCTGTCCATACCCATTTCTCATTACTTTTTTGGCCATAAAATGCATCCCATAGACCAATATATTATATAGCACCCCAACATAAAAATAAATAAGGGACTTAATGGAACGCAAAGAAAACAGACATCCTCCAAGCGTTATGCTGGTCTGTAACCTGTAATAAAGAAATACCAGTTACTGTAGAGGGTAACACTAATAATACGGTGTTACTGTTTATCTTCTTATTTTGAACTGGCATAAAAGATATGTGTAGCAAGATACTCCGGTCTATCTCGTTCTTCCCCATGACGAGAACGATCATGTCAGAGTCACACCGTTCAAGGTGTGAACATCGCTTTTCTGCAACACTGAATCAGCCACACAAAACTCAGGGCGAATTCCGAGGTCTATTCTTATTGGAGGGTGGCATTGGAAGGAAATCTGCAGCTAGCCAGCCCTTGTTCCTCCTGGCAGGATCTGTTTCCTCCCCATCCTGCTATAGCCCTGCCACAAGAGTAGGAAGTGCCTCAAGCTGTCACTCGTGTGCGGCTGCTGTCTTTGCAGTTCCTGCAGCCATGGAACGAGTTGTTCTCTGACGTGGCCCCAGTCCAACCCAAGTGCTTTAACTATCAGAGGCAATCCCTGGTGAGTGCTAGAGACTTTTGACAGCAGGCAGGTTGTGGCAGTTGGCACCAGGCTCCATGGCACTTCCTAGAACTGGATTCCAATGGTGGCATTTGAAAGTCAAAAGCAAGG